GGTCAAGGGAAACACCAGTTCAAACAACCTCATTGAAATTCCTTTTCTGCAGCTTCCAAGTTTCACTACAGTTCCTCCCAGGAGCCTGGAATCGTGGCTAAAGACCCAATTTTTCCCCATCAGTAGTAGGATTTGCTAGGTTACTTCTGGAGCAGGGCGAGCATGGTGCACATGTGTAATCCCAGCAACTCAGGAGGCTGGGTCAGGAAGATCACAAGTTCAAAGCCATCCTCAGCAATTTAGTGAGGCCCTAAGTAACTTAGCAAGTCTCTGTCTCAAAATAAAACATAAAAAGGGCTGGGAATGTGGCTCCGTGGTTAAGTGCCCCTGGGTTCAATCCCCGTTACTATATATTTTTTAAAATGGATCAAAGAAGCCACAGATCCAGCTAAGCTACCATTGTCTGCCCTGGCAAAAACAAAAGGCTGACCCAAGGCAGAGACACGTTCCAGGAGCTGAGAAGATGCTAGCTCACCAAGAGCAGTAGGTGATTGCCTTCTGGGCATGTCAGGTGGGGCAGGAGGCTTGAAGTATACCCAGCACCTCCCCACTCACGGAGATGGAGCAGTACAATACAGCCGGTAACTATGAAATCACGGCCCTTGGCTCCTGGTATCTTGTTGGGGATCCAGTGGTCTAAACAGAGATGCCCAGTTCCCCCCACTCCAACTGAGCCGGTGACATTTGTAACTGTTCTGAAATTCTGAGAAAAGTCACCAGTCCTAGCACTGGGAAGCACCATCTGTTGCACATGTCAGGGGACAATTGTCGCACTCTTATTGTTTTAGTGAAGGGAGGAGGAAGTGAAATCACAATGGGAACAAAGCAGTTTGGTTTTTTACCCAAACTAGAAGCTAGTCATTATGAATTTATAGGTCCAAAAGCTTATTATAAGTGTCAAGGTATAGCTGCTCATACATCTGCACACTCCATCCGTCCTCATGTGCAATTACACATCCACATGCACCACACTTCACCGTGTAAATTGATATACCCACACACCCCATCCATTCAGGAATGCAGTTACATATACATATACCCCAATGGCCAACATCCATTCTAGTGTGTAATGGCGCACGTGCGCGCGCACACACACACACACACACACACACACACACGAGTCAACATCCACCCACTCAGTGGGCTATTCCTATGTTCAATGCCTCCCACTGTAGACATTCTTTATCTAGAACATACTGTAGATATTATATGGTAAAATGCAAAATGAGAAACAGTCTCACATACCAGGAAGTAATTCACTCCTTTTCTGATTGTTAAGATCTCCTACAGATAGCCGATTATTTTCAGTAATGAGTGACACTCCACCAACCAAACCCTGTAGAAGTCTGACAGAGCTGTCACCAAAATTCATGAATGGCATCATCAGCTTGCTCAGTAAATGCTGGCAAGAGTATTACAGCTCTGAGCAGTGTGCCCTTAAACCCTTGCTCTTAAATTAGGCCTCCTGATTCTTGATATTAGCACTTGGGTCAGTTCTAAATGTGGTCACTTCTGATTGTGTGTACACGCACACATGCTGGTCATTGATCTCAGGGCCTCAACATGCTAAGCACATGCTCTACCAGTGAGCCACATCCCTACCCCTGTGAGCTTTGTGCAAGTCTGTGATGTGCCCCGTGGAGGCACATTTCTTGTGGGACCTACCACGGGGCCAAAGGCTGACCCGGTGCAGCCCATACAGTATCACCTTCCCGTCTTTAGCCTTGAGCCTCAGTCTTGTCTTCAAATGGTTCTTCTACAACAGCTTAGTGGCTCTTTAAGAACTGAGCTCCTCTCCACCCCCCTGAACTAAGCACATCTATCTTACCTTCCTCAGTTTTCCCTGCACAGACCTGAGAAGCAACATATTGCCTTCAAACCTACCAAAAACCTACAGCAGCTGCAGGTCACTGGGATGCTAGCCACCTTGGACTTTAGGGCAATAGATTTTTAAGGTGCCCAGCACCATCATCAATATTCTTTTGTATTTCTATCCATCTATTAGGTCCAAATATAAAATAGGTTTTAAATAGAAATTAAAGAAAATATTCATTCATCTTTGCTGTTGGGTTTTTCTTTTCTGTCTATCCAAAGCATATTTTCTTGTTCTTTCTCTGTCACCAAAATGAAAAGGAAAAAAAAAAAAAACAACAACAACAAGTTGTAGCTAGACTCAGATGTGTAAAAAGGTGTTGCTGGTAGGGACTCCCTGACATGAATACAGACCTGGAGACTTCCTCAGGTACATAACCTCTTGCTGTTAATAAATGGCAAACTCAGTGGTAGCAGAAAGGACAGATTAAACATACCACAAGCTCTGGATTCTAGTGTTGCTCAGGAACTTTTTTACAGTGTTAAATTTTGATTCTTCATTAATTAATATTACTGATATAATGCTTTGAGGCTTCCTAGATGATCAAAAGCCACCAGACTTCTGTATTTCTCAGTCCTCCTCTTATGTAAGAAAATCAAGTTTAAATATTTGCTAATTATCATGCTGTGTGCAACATCCTGATAGCACCTGTCATCAGGTATTTCTGAGAAGCCAAAGTCTCTAATGATCCAATATATGAATTTTCCAGAAAACTGGAAACCATCCAGGGCTTTCCTTAATTTAGGAAAAAATATATATATATCAAAGAGAATAACAACTCCTTTCTCCAACTCTAGACCTTTAGACTTTATAATTGATATCCAGTCACATGATAAAGATTGCCCATTTCTATCTACCAGAAATTATTTAAAGGAAGGATATCAATAGAACTATTTACAAATCAGTAAAGAACACCCAAATAAAGGGGTTTTTTTCCTAGTTTCACGATTTTTTAATAAAATACATTGATGGTTTAACTGTACATGGGCAATGTGGGAATTTGCACATGTGCACCAACAGAGGGCCATGTGATAATTTGAATCAACATGCGCACAAGGAATGAAATTGTCCTTTAGTATCTGATTTCCTTTCTGCGTGATTTCGAACTTCTCCAAGAAAGCAGGGACAACGCCAGCATTTATGTTCACATGACCCTGTGGTTCACAGCTGCTGATGAGCAAGGGGGCAAACCAAGGACAGTACCCAGCACTCATTAGTCATGCTATGTACCCACTGGGTCATTGTAACCCACAGGACATAGATAGGCTCTGAACAGATCCAGCCAGCCCTCTGACTCTCGGAATACCATTACTGAGGGTCACTCAAAAGATGGCCAAGCCGAGCAGATTTATTTTAGAATGATCATCATTATTTTGCCACAGCTGACCTTCAGAATTGGACAGTGGCCTTCATTCTAACACAGAATCAAAGCCCTAAGCAGAGTGTTACTTTTTTCAAGGTAAACTTTAAAAGCCTTAGTTTGACATTATCCTCAGTTTGAAGACTACCCTCTATGTTTGACACAACATATAAGCTTTGTCAAGATATATTGATGTATTTTAAATGTAAGTCTTTTTGAAAAATAGCAATTATACTAACGTTCTAGAGATGGTTAATACACTCTAGTGTTACAGTTTAACCTCAGAGTTGTCAAGGTTTTTTGGTTTGGTTTTGGGTTTTTGTGGAGGGTTGTTTTTTTTTTTGTTTGGGGGGGGGGGGGTGAGGTTGGCCCCTGGTTATGTACTTTAAACAAGCAATACAAGAAGAATATTCATTTCTTTTAAGATAAACTCAACCAAGTGTGCATACTTTATGCTGATCTATATCCCTTTTGGTAAAATATAATAATCCATATTCAGAAGCTAAGAAGCAGGTCAAATTAAAATGCAGACTCAAACAAGAAGGGACCCTTTCTTAAACACCAATAGTCATATTATTTATCAGTGCTTTTCATATAGGTAAAGATAACCCTTACAATAATCTGTTTCTTTGGAAATTGTGGTTCCAGAATTGCCAAGATACTCCATGTTACCTGAAGATGCGTTCTGCTGAGTGTTCGATTGGATCTGCAGCCAGTATTTACAGACCAGATATCCCCACTGGTTTTGCAATGTTATTAACACAGGTGGGGATAGAATGTGTGTCTCATTTTTTTTTCAATAAAAAAAAAAAAAAAAAAAAAAACATGTCTTGGATCCAATGTAAGCTGGATCTTCCCCTCTTGGCCAGGGGAAGTCTGTCCAGGTGTGGAGGCTGCTGATCCGCCGCCTGGCGGGCAGGAGGAAATAAGCATTTGACAGATTAATTGAACTGAGCTGAGTATTTGCTCCTTACACATCACAACATGTTTGCATAAAGAAAAAAAATCTATTAACTACATCGTGTTTTTATAATTCTCTGTGTTGAAACAAAAACTCCTTTCCAGCCTGTGGCTTCAGGTAGCAGCACCTTCAGCCCCTCTGAGCCCATTTAAATGGAAGGCTACAGCCACTGGGAAAATAGTCCCAAATTCTCCTTTCTCTGCTGTAAACCAAACCACTGGATATGGAATGAAAGACCCACGAAAACCTTGCTCACAAGAAAAGTAGAAGCCGTCTTCTAGAAAGCAAGACAGCGTTTGACCCGCCCTGCCAGGAACTGGAGATTGTTGCTGTGGTGGGCAACCTCTTGCCCACTCCGCCAATAGGCGAGGACACCGTGGAAATAGAGACATTCGGTGAAACTCTCATCCCCGCAGGGGGCTGCCCAGATCTAACAAGTGTGTTTCAGCAGCGCGAAGTAGGCCATTCCCTCGGTCCCACGGATAAGCGCCCACGGTGAAAGGGCCACTGGCCGGACATTAGGTGAGGCCAGGTAGCAAAGGCATGCCAACCGGGTGGAGCCCAGGGGAAAGCAAGACAGAGGGAGGTCACGCGTTTTTTTCAACCTTTTCCCACTGGATGCGGGAAAGGCGCATTTCTAGTTCGCTCCCGAACTGATTTCTGAGGAGTGCGCATCTCCTCGCCTCTAACGTGACAGCCACGGGTGTCCCCCCGCACCCTAGGGCTTCAGGAAGAGGCCTGACCGCAGCTGGCTCTCCTGCCCGGCCTCCGGGACCCCCACCAGGACGGCCCGCGCCAGTACCCACCTTGACGACATAGGTGACTCCGGGTCCCAACACCTGGTCGTTGGCGTGCGGCGCCCCCCGGGGGGGCCTGGGCAGCGGCTCGTCGCCTGGCCGGCCCTTCTTGGCGGTGCTCATGCTCACGGCCGGGGCGCGGGGCGCCGGGGGCGCGCTGCCGTCCGGGGCGGCCAGGCTGGGCGCGCTGCAGCTGCCCGAGAGCCGCGCGCCCGCCCGCTCCCGGGCGGCAGACGACAGGCCGCGGAGGCCGGAGCTGGAGAGTTTCAGGTGGGACACCTTGTGAAGCAGGTGGCCCAGGCTGCCGGGCCCATCGTCGGGCGCTTTGCGCAGGGCTTCGCCGGACACCAGATAAGGGGCCGCCTCCGGGGTCGCGCGCGCCGCGGAGACCTTGCCGCCGCCGCCGCTGCCGCTCACCGACAGGCTGTGCAGAAGGTCATCGACCGATGTCACCGAGTCATTCCTGAAGCGGTTGTACTTGGTGCGTGGAAGCATGCCCCTCCGTGGGCTCGCCGCATCCGCCCGGGCGCTGCTGGTGCCGGCCCCCGCGCGGGCTGCCGCGCATAGCAGGCGAGCCGCTGGCCCCGGAGCGGGACGAAGAGCTGGGGTCCCAGGACAGCCTTCTGGAGAGGAAGAGCGGAGTCAGAGGACGATGCACTCCCACCATTAAAAGCCAACACAGCAGCGGCCGCGCAGCCCCGGCCCGGGAGACCGCTGCTTGGGGTTGAACGTTTGCTTTGCAAAAGTCATAGTTGCCTGTGATGGAGAGCCCAGCTGCTTGGGGCTGCTCACAGCAAAAGCATGACTCACTCTGAGAGGAGACCCTTCTCAACAAAGGCTCGGTGAGCACTGCAAATCACTTCCTGTAGAAGAAGAAAAAAAAAAAAAAAAAAAAAAAAAGAAGCCAAAAAAAAAAAAAAAAAAACGACATCCACCCGCTGACAGCAACTGGAGCCAATCAATTCTCAAATTTCCTTTTTCTACCTTCCCAGATTTTTCCTTCCAACCTTTGATTTTTCACTTCCCCAACCCCCCATTCCGCAATTGTACCAAAGGTAAATCCAATTCCTTCAAATGATCAAATGAACTTTCGGAAACCCATTATTCCATGTTAGGTTTTTCTCTTCCCTGCTTAGCTCATCTATGTGAGCCCTCAAAGTGTATGACAGCGATGCGTTAAAATGTGACGAAGGCTTTTTAAGAACAAGTCTTCAGCGAATCCTGGTGAATTCTGACTTGGAAAGCAGTAAGAATTTTTAAATAGAAAACAAAAAGGAATATTCACCCCCAGGTGAACATAAAATACCAATTTCCTGGGGTTTTTTTTTCTCTCTCTCTCCTTTTTTCTTTTCAAATCAACAGAGCAGCCATGATGAGCGTCTTTGTGGCAATGCAGTTCCTCCCCCAATAAAATCTGCATATGAACTTCTGCCCAGTGCGCTCAAGGGGGTCTTCCCTGCTCATTTACAGCAGTCTTTCTCAGCCAGGGTTAAACTGAAAATCTACTTCCAAAAAAGAAATGCTTCTTCGATGAGTGGCAACAGGCTCCAGAAATCCATTCCAAAAAAGAGGGGGCTGCGTTTCAAGTTTTATTCCAACTGAATGTGCTTAAGCCCTGGAAAAATGCCTGAGAAATGCTACCAATGCATTACAATGTCCCTTCAGTTGCTGCCTGCAGCCCGGCAGTCAGGAGGGAAAAAAAAAAAAATGCAGCTGCACATCAAATCCAAACGGGGGGGGGAAAAAAAAAAAAAAGCCTTGTTTTCAGGAATCGGGCTCAGGCTTGCAAAGAAATGTGCAGGCCTCCTTCCTCCCAGTTAGGAGAACAGGACGTTGGCAGCCTCCAGGTCTGTCCTCCACTCGGAGACCCACTGACCCCTTCCTCAGGAGCCTCTGCCCGTCGGCCTCATGCCTTAAGATAACCTGGCCCACAGTGAAACGCTGAAAGTTCCGGGCAACTTCTGTGCACGCAAATTTATTCACCTCTAGCTCACTCTCAGGTCACCCGAGTCTTCCCAGGCCCAGCCCTGTCAGGTGTGGCATACGAGGTCCCGCGTCCGGCACAGGGCTCGGCCGAGCAGGGTTTAACGAGCGCCGCTCATGGCGGGCGCGCGGGTGAGGCCGGCTCCTAGGACGCAGGAGCGCGGAGAAGCCGCGCGGTCCCGGCGCAGGAAACGTGTCCCCACAGCTCCCCTCCTGCGCCGCAGCCCTAGCAGAACAGCCACTCGGCACTCCTTTTTCCTCTTCCCCTGGCTCGCCTAGCAACAGCAGATGCACACCCCCGGAGGTGATTTTGATGGTTATCAGAGTCTCCCCCAAACCTGAAGCCAAACAGCCCTATCATCCCCAAACCGTGATCTTCATTAGAAGCAGACAAAAACAGCAAAATGTGAATGAGATGCTGTTTGTGTGAATGAAAGGGCGAGCGAGCGAGCCAGCCTTTCTGTGAATGAAGTCGGGCCCGGCAGCCGGTGCCAGGCAATCCCCTGGGCTCCCGAGGCCTCAGCCAATGAGCGGCCGCGCGGATGACTCATTCAACAAAGGCTCGCTCAATAGTGGAAGATTCCATTTCAATCAAGGGCGGGATCTTTTATCCAACGGCAGTGTGGGAAAAAAAGAAATACCACCCAGCTCGATCACAAAGATTCTGGGAGAAGGAGGACGGCTGTTAGTGGAGAAAGGAAAAAGGAGTTTTTCAAGGAAATTCAAGATCCACGGGTCAGGTCTCAGTGTGAACAGGACCACTCTCTTGGAGGTGAGCTGTGCCCCAAACTTTCATTCACCAGTTCAGTTACATCAAGGAGCAGCCATGAATGTGCCGTTCGGTTCCGCTTTTATTATGAATGTACATTGAATGCACATTCAAAACCGAGGTTACCTTCCCTCCATTCTTGTTATTTTTTATTTTTTTGATAAAGGAATAGAGAACACCTGTGCGAGCTAAGGGTCTCCAAGGGAAGAAAAAAAACATTGGTACGGAATTAACCCTTTAGCCTACAGGAGACTTTGAGTTCTTTTATTATGAGGAGGCCAATAGGGAGAAATGGGATATTTTAAAACATAAATAGCAGTAGAAAGTTGCTACATATTAAAAGATATATACTCAAAGAGGATGGTTAATGTTCCAAGATCATAATTGTGCAGTAAAGCCACACTTAGGCAAGATGGTATCAACGTTCTGGGCAGATATAGGTCTGTAATCCCAGCTACTCGGGAGGCTGAGGCAGAAGGATTGTAAGTTCAAGGCCAATCTGGACAACTTAGTGAAAACCTGAATCAAAATTAAAATTTTTAAGGAGCTGGGGTTTTATCTCAGCAGCCAATTGCTTTTGGATTCAATCCCCACTACCACAGAGAAAGAAAGGAGAAGCCAAAGGTGTCTCAACATCAGAACAGAGCTGTGTAGCCATGCAGACAGCTTAGGTACCACACCCACGGGGAGCCCTTGCCTCACTGGGGAGCTATGCATTCTTATTTTAGGCCCTGTTCCCCAAAGCCCTAGGATCTGGTCTATCTAACAACCTAGAGATGGATGAGAAGGAGACTACTAGGTTAGGTGATGATAAATCTGGATGAAATTTTCATAGTCTGTGCTATGGCTTACATATGATTCGTCCTTTCTAAAAATGATGTTGAAATTAATCCAACCATGGTGCTTAGCGGTGGGCCCTTTGGGAGGTGATTTGGGTTAAATAAAATCAGCAGGGGAGAGCCTCCATGATTGAATTCACTTGAATTTATAAGAAGAGAGGGAGAGACTAGAGGATAGATCTCTCTCTCTCTCTCTCTCTCTCTCTCACACACACACACACACACACACACACACACACACACTTCCTGTCTCTTGCCACGTTATGTCCTAAGCCACATCCCGACTCTGCCAGTAAGAAAGCTCACCACTTTCAGGCCCTTGACCTTGGACCCAAACTCTGAGCCAAAATAAATCTTTCTTTTTGAATAACTCGCCCAGTCTGTGGGACTGTGTTACTAGAAACAAAAACAGACCAAGACAGTCTGACAGTGCAGAAGAAGCACCCTGCTGCTGTTACCGTTGTGCCTCCCCAATGCTGAAGTATAAGCACACCGAGGAGGCAAGTTTAGAGTGGAAAGTAGAAACTTTATTAAAAGACAGCAGAAAAGACTCCCTCCCCCCGCCCCCCGGAAGAAGGGGACCCAAGAGGTGGAATCTGTGGAAGGGGGAGGTCTTCCGTCTTCTATAGCTAAGGCCTTCTTTCAGCTTTCCCACATTTCTGTCAGGTTCCTGTCCTCTGTTCTGTTACCTTGCAGTGATAGAATGTAGGTGGGGAGACCCAAAAGGTGAGGGGCAGTTGGGCTGTAGGAGTAATCTGGGCAGGAAGGGCCTAGGGCCGCTTCTGATTAGCACCTCCCTGTTTGCTGGGAGCTGTTTCATTAACATTTCTTTAGAATGGGCTCTGGGCCTTGGGAACATTAACATTTCAATTTCCCAAGTGCTGCTCTGCTTTCCCGGGCTCCATTCTCAACATGGCCTTCATTTTTTATTTTACTCAGTATTAGACCCGATTTACCTAACTACGCTAACTACCTATCTTTAAATCTGGCTTCACTGCTGAGGCCCCCTGAAGGAGCCCACAGAGGATTTGGCTAGCCCCTGGTATCCCCGCAGGCCACCTTCTTCTCCTGAGAGGAGAAAGTGAGGCCCACATTTCTGACCTGGATTCGAGGCTGAGTTCAGTCTCCTGCATTAGGATGAAGAGGGCAGGGAAAGGTGAGATGCTGCATGCATACGAATGATGGGGCCTCCCACATAGAGATGTCCAGAGCTGGACAGTCAGGGCTAAAGGCTGAAACTTGAAATTGCCAGGCTTTCCAGATAGGAGCTAAGAAAAAAATGGTCAGAAATCGGAGGATAAATATGGAACCCAAGTTCAATGGGTACCATGGAAAAATGAGTTTCAAGAGAAAGGCAGCGCTGACCACCGTGGCTACCTTGATGGAGTGTCCTCACACACCAGCAATGCACACTTTATTAGAGAATTCGGATCTTATTGTGTACAGAAAGAAGCCAATGGTCAGAGAGGTTACAAAATATGCCAGGTTAGAAACTGGTAGGGTGGTCTGACTCCAAAGCCATGTTCATGACCTTGTATTTTCCTGATTTAGAGAGGCTGTATAAAATACCTGCTGAGCGCTCTCCTTTGCAGGTGGTGACTGTCCATTCTAGTGTCACCAAGGAAAAACCTAAATAAACCCTCTAGCTTCGCTGGCTCTTAATTAACTTAAAATCATTAATTTTGGAAGTCACACAGCTGGCAAAACATTATTCACCTCCCACTAGCTCTGCTGTAGGTAAAAGCTCTCACACGTGGGGTTAGGATGCTAACATCTGCCTAGGTTACTTTTCAGGGATGTAAAGGCTGCTTTTACTGAAAACACTGACTCTTCCCTTGGGCTGGCAGATGTCTGGTGACTGGAATGAGATGAAAATCTTAACATCTCTGTCCTCATATTGTGTCTGTCTCCTTTGTGGCCTTAAACTTTGGGTCAGAGTCTACTCAGCATTGCACATAGAAATGTTGATCCCTTGAGAAATATTTTATCCCAAACTATAACACAGGGTTAACTTGACCTAGATGTGGCTAGTCTCTCCCTCCCCTACACACACACACACACACACACACACACACACTCACTTCAAAGCTAAGGACTTTCTACCTGCTGCCATGACCAGAAACACCCAATCATGAAAGGAGTGAGAGGTGACGCCCAAGTTCCTGGCAGATCTCCACTTGTTCCCAGAAAAGACACCAATACCCCTCCCCT